AACGTTTTTGATCTCATTGTCAGTGCATATTTACTTCTGAAAGCCAGTGCAGTATGAGATCATGCGTTAAGCTGGATTAAGATAGGGCAAGTCAATTGAAGTCAGTTGAATTCAACTGACTTGAACGCGAATTGAACGTGTAAACCATGCCATTCAACTGACTTGATTAACTCACTTGAATTGAAAAAAGTTGAACCAGGCTCAACTTTTCAAGCCAATTGAATTCATCTGAGTTGATCATTTGACTTGCCTAGTCTAAACCCAGCTTTATAGTAATAGTTCTGACAAAAAACTCTTATCTCCTTTAAAATCAAACAATCAGGGACTGGATCCAAATCTATACCGTAGTTGCCTGCTCTCAGATCAAAACAGACTGTGAAATCCTATGCAAAAATTAATTTGGACATAACATTTAGAACATATCCGCCCATCTATATTACATTTACATTTGAACGAGCACAATAAGAGATAGAATTCTACAACTTTGCAAAATTTTGCTCATTTTTAGTCATCCTGAGATCTTTTACACACCACTAAATTTACTAAAATACATCCAGTACGAAAAATATTTGCAAAGCGAGCGTTTTACTAAAAGAGCTCTAACTGTATACAGGCTCTGTCAATAAAGTCCAAAACTACATAGGGTAGAGCGCTACTTCGTCGTAATCGCCCATTACCGTTCTATCGATCAGAAAAGATCAATCATATCAATGATTTCAATGTGCACAAATCAATAATAGGTTTGTTCCGATGCGTTAGTTCATAAGCTACAACATAAATCCTATTAGAGCGCTTTGTATGAATATTTACGCTTATTGTTCTCAAAACAAAAGAAGTACTCCTAGCGAATCCCCTTTTTCTACGTTTATCTGTAGGGCGAAGAAAATCTAATGGCGTTTCAATGCGTTAGGATGGAATTGAAACTCGTAGAACGAATTTAGAATCAAGACACAGTATTAGATTTTAAACAATATCTCAACAATTTGTGACTCTTTATCAAATCCAACGGTACGTATGGAAAGGTGAATAAATTTAGAAGTCATCTTTGACATAAATATTCTACTTTTTGTTTAAAGTTCAGAAAAGAGAGGTAAAACGCGGGTTGCGCTTAGTAGGACGGAAATTAGATCAAAACCCCTATACCGGTAAATAAAAAATAGTTGTTCAACCACCAACCAAGGTGTCAAAAATCTTTCTATTGTGTTTAAAAAAATAGTCAGTTCAAGTGAGCTCTTAATTTTGCGATACACTGTGTAAGTTATACAAGGCCTGGCCCATCCAGTTTATAGTCGCTATATTCATAGTCTGGCGGATAGAATTTCGATATATCATAAAGCGGAACCAATTCAATGTATTTTAGACCAAAAATAGACAAGGTACTATGAACTTTTATAAACAAAACGTTGATTATTTTTTCCTCGCCAATCGAACGCAAACTACCGGCATCATCGGTTAGGAGAAACTTTCGCCAACCCAAAGATGGTGTTAGTTTGCATAGGCGAGCCTTGAGTCACGAGCAGGCATGGAAAATCAGTTACATTCATTTCATGCATTAATTTACATTCGTTTGCCTCTAACTTTTTTCATCAACAGCATTCCGCAAAACGATGTATTCAGAGCGTTAGTAGGTTTTGTTATTAGCTACAACTTTTGCCCCTAACTAAAATCTGTATCTCTTATGCATCACGAATTAGAGCGGGCAGAACTTGTTACTGTTTAAAATACATTCACTGAAGAACAGTAGTGGATTCTGTTCGCTCTGGTTCATCATGCATAAGAGATACGGATTTGAGTTTTTGACAATTCCGGAATTCGGTTGATGAAAAAAGTTAGGGGCAAATGAATGTAAATGAATGCAAATGATTTTCTATGCCTGGTCACGAGAAAAGGGTTTCTGAAGTTTTGTTCGCAATAACTGATGTGCTCTTTTCTGTTGTTGGTCGTGATTGGCTTGATTGGTTTCGCTATTTGATAGCTCAATTGGTTCCCGAGATTCTATCCGCCAGACTATGAATATACACGGTAATCGCAAAAAACTCTTTTATGACTATAAAGTACACATTTTTGAATGAAAACGGGACTACCCACAAAATGAGTAAAATTTTACACATTTATGAGTAATTACTAGTACAAAAATGAATAAATTTTATGCATTTATGAGTACCATATACTCATAAAATGTGTAAAAAATACACACATTTTAGGTGTAGTCCCGTTTTAGCCGAATATGCATACTTTATAGTCAAAATTGAGTCCTTTATAGTCATTTTTGCGTATTTTGCGGTTTCCGTGTAGCGACTATAATCCTGCTTATTGGTATTAGTGAAATGTGGACATGTTAACTGGTGTTTGTATTTCATCGCAATGTTTATCTTTTTACACGAAATACCGTGGACTAATAGTCGCTATATGCAAATTATTAGTACTGCTATTATTTTGTACAATTTTACCTAGTTTTCACTTTCCGGCAGGTGCTTACAAAAAATTAGTTTATTGTAATCGTAAATTGAACATATTTAGTACTGTGGCAAACGTTTCAGCTCAATTGATCTTAATAGAATAAAGTTACAACTTGTCAAAGTTGACCATTTTGTATGGAAATCGGTATGCGCTGCTATTTTATCGAACACAGGTGTACGTCCGTTTTTATAATATTTTAACACTATCTTTAAGGGGGTGTATCTTGCAGGGTAGCAGATATTGGCAACTAACCTCAACGTCATTTCGTACAGCAACTTATACCCTACTGTTACATATACAATTCATAGGGGGGTGCTTAAGGTTTTAAAATAAAGTACCTCTATGACATAGTCGTTTTGTATAGTATTCTCAATCTAAGTCCGAGATTTGGTGAAATTTGAGCAATATTTGGATTTTTGGTAAACATATGAATAAAATTTAAAATTCTTCCGCAAATCGAGGTTATAACTAAATTGGTTCAAACTTTTCACAGTTGTTGGGGACATCAATACCTGTAAAGTTGACCCACCCTAATGTACATGCATGGAAAAATGGTTATGAAAACAGCAAAACGTAACAAAACATCGGGTTGTGAATTAAGCAAATTTCTGTAGTTACCAGCTTTCAATACGTTAATAAATATCAAAATATTGCTTGCAATGGATACATATCAGTAAAATTAGAAGTTGCTGTGCATTTTACAATCGATTTAAATTTAAATATTGCTACATATTGGGCCTTATTCTGCGAGTCACTTGACTCTCTGTCATCGGTGAGGTGACAATTCTCGCGTCACTTTTCAAAAGATCCTAAGTAACAAATGTAAACAAATCGAGTTACGCGATACAAACTATTGCTCTTCTATTATAGTATGTGATACAAAAACATCCATCCAAATTTACTTTCATTTATTTAAGATAATGAAAATTGTCCCATGTACAGTTTGAAATGATGGGTACATGATTGTTACTGCCTAACATGATTGGTGCTCATTTTTCAAAGGCGGGGCTAATCTAAAGTTACGTACTCTACTCTGAAATCTGTGAAAGGGAATCAAGTATCATGTAGACAAAACGTCAAATGTAACACTCATTGATTATGTCATTGAGAAAAATCGTCCATGTAACATGTCCGATGTACAACTTGACTTCTATGACGTCCTATGTGGTTTTTTTTTCTATGTTTCATTCAAAGTAAAAATTGTGATTTGACCGTTTCTACTGAATTTTCAACGATATTATTCAATGAATACATTAAAAATAGTATGTATTGTAAAATGTATTGTTTCTAAACAGTTAGAATAATAATATGTTGAACGTCAATTTTGATTTTCTCAAAATGGTGGATATGTTACATTGGTCTATATGAAAAGTGATGCGAGAATTGTCACCTCGTGTGAGGTGACTCTCCGTGCAAATCAAATGCAGAGTCACCTCACACGAGGTGACTATTGTCACCTCACCGGTGAGAGAGAGAGAGAGAGAGAGTCACGTGTCTCGCAGAATAGGGCGGATTACGTTTTGAAAGTTGGCGCACAGGCAAAAAGTGAGGTTACGCGGCGCCACTGCGATATCGTAAGTGGATTTCTCTAGTTTTCAGCTGTAGCGACATTATTAGGACTGGGATTAGGTATACTCCCGTACTTGTTTTCCTGTTAGATTCTGTACAGCAAAAAGCGAAAGTATGTTCCTGCACTTTCTGCACCATACTATATGCTTACAGCAACTTACAGCAAAAGCAAACAAATCAGGATTAGGAACATACCTATTATCAACCTGAAGTGCGTACCATGGTGCACAAAAAGTATATCAAACTGAGGGAATATATAAAATCCAAGAGACACTTGATCCATTTTTGACGTTTATTTTTTTTTACAAATGATTAGTAAATATGAAGTGAAAAAGTATACTTATCCATTATTTATGTAATGTTTTTATTATTTTTTTATATAATGCTGTTTTTGTTTATTTAAGCCCTGATTACGGTCCTGGCAGCATCACCCAAAACAAAACGCGAAGTATGTTGTTTGGCAACCCTGACCCGCACCACACCACACACACACACAGAGGGAAGTTCATGAAAAGCTGCATCTGAAAGTTCTTCGAATATTTTCACCAATGTCACTTAACGACTGTTTCGGTTATAAGTGCACTTCGTATGATATGCATTTTATGTTCTCACTTTTGCCGTAGTTTATAAGTCACTTTTTAAACATTTCAGACACTTCCGAATATATACATGCAAAACCTTACGATACACGTCACTACTACACAGGGTCATTTGAAAGCCGATGTTCTGTGGCGTAGTTTATTGCCATGATTTTGTTCACTGAATTCAGCAAATCTACCGTACCGTATCAGGCCATTCTTCAAGAATTTTGCACGTAAAAAACACTCGGCACATAATTTACGCACTTTCAATCGATTCGATCCAATATTCCCCTTGGCATCGCATAGTGACGCAGATTTTGCAACAGCATTCCTCGTCCTTGAATCGCCATGATTTTGCTTTGTGTGGTGGCTTGCCGAGAGAAAAATTACCTTGCAAAGTTGTTGCCCCGGGGACAATTCCTCGAACGGATGGCGTGAAAAGCACTTGGAACATGCGAATAACATAACCGCCGAGCTCATTTTGATATAATTTTGACGAACAAACGAACGCTACTCGAGGAAAATATTGCAAATTTTGCAACAGCGGGACCGAAGCAGAAACGCGTACACTCACTACTTTTTCTTTTCCACTTTCGTCTCCGGCGACTGTTGGCGTTTTTTGCTTGTCGCTTTTCGCTTTCTGACATTATCGACTGGCATAAAAGCTTGTATAAAACTGCAGGGGTGTAGATAGCTTTTTATTTAGACCAGAGACGGCACCGTGCGCAGCCAGCAGTACACAGCAAAAAATGATGAATATCCGTAAAAAAGAAATTTCTTAAATATTGTTCGGTGCTTCTTTTGCTGGACTAATTCTGTAAAAGATATTTTTTACAAATAGTTTTGGTCAATATATTGTGTTACCAATTTTCCACAATTATAACTGCTGAATATCTGTAATTTACTATTTAATATATATTTAATAAATTTTACTGATCGAACAACTATTTTGAATGGTAATGTTTATTTTTAAGGTTCACATCCAAGGAACCATAATTTTTAAGGTTAAAACTATATCACACAAACGTTCATGTAAAGTTCCATAACCATTTCAGTTGAAGTTTAGCAGAGATTGTCCCAGATTGTAGATTTTCGGTAAGGTCATGTTATGGTTCACATTTATGTGGGTTCTGTGTGTGAAAAATTGAAGACTGTGCCCCCCTAATAAACAAATACCATAAACGAACGGTAACCCGTATGGTCGAACAATCCCACAATTAGTTTGGATAATACCCTGAACACGTCGTTAAGCTCTTTCTTATGGTTATTTTTATTAGGACCCTCACTCTTTCGCTTAGGAATCCTATATACAGAGATTCGCTGAAACATTAGGTCGTATGAATAAAAGCGTTTACTTTACTTTCCCCGTAAGAAAAGCACGGGAAAGTAAAACAAACTCTTTTTATTCATACGGCCCATTATCAGACGATTTGCCGCGGAGCAAAATGTTTCAACTTTGTGTGTGACTTTATTATTATCTACGCCATCATAAGGTAAAATGTGATGGATTTTACTAAATTTTTGGACAATAAAAACACATCTTATTAAAAAATATTCCGAATTTCGCTATCACTGCAGATTGCAGCACTGGTTGGAAGATCTTCACGCTAAGATGCACATACCTTAGAGTCGGTAAAGAATACCTAGATATCGGTAAAAATTACCGATAATCGAAGAAAGTGCACATACCTAAATTATCAGGAAATCATGGATTACCAATAATTTACATTAAAAATTGCCTAATTTATAGTAAAAAGTAAACTATTTATAGTAAAAAGAAACGATTTTTATCGGTAAAAAATACCGATAATTTTATACCGATAATTTTAGGTTATCGTAGCTAAGAGTGTTTAGGTGCTTTCTCTGTTCATGCATTTTGACGTTCTACTGCAATCGGCAACATAGTATGTTCTGGCAACACGGACCGTTCCGCCTCGCGATCGGCCGATGAGGCGAGAAGCGGTTTGGCCGATGAGGCGTGACAAGGTGACAGGTGAAGTAGAAGTGACAGGTGAGAAAGAGATAGAAAAAATAGTTAGAAGTTGATCGGACAGAAGTCGTGCAGGGAGAAGTAAACAAATAGAAAAGAAAGGTAGAAGTTTAGTTGAAAAGTAGATTGAGATTTAGAGCGTGTTTGTTAGAAAAGGAGTGAAATTTCGGTGCGTTTTTTTTTTGAGAAGGTAAAATAATTAAACGACCGCAGTTTAATACACCAGGTTAGTTCAACATACAAAAATTGAAATACATTTAGAACAAAGAATTAAATTACAGTTTTTTACGACACAAAGAGGAGGTTAGTCGATGATAGACGAATCGACAAGATAGATTGGCAGACAGGTAAAACATGCAGAAAACGTTGGGAATAAATAATATTAATGCGCTTAATTGTGTCAGGCATAGTATCGGAAGCGAGGTTGGAAAGACAAGGAAAGTTTAGAGGAGGAAAACAAACTAAAATTGTGAGTAATACTAACACTAAAACTCATGAAAATACTGTACTAACTCGAATGAATTTCTCATAAAATTGCAGTTTGATCTACCTGCAAGAAAAGGTTGATTCAAGAACGGTTTGTTTATTCGATCCGAACAGAATCAAAAATTTTATAATCGGATTACCTTCGGAATGGCTTTTCCTCCTTCCAAGGACGAGCAATGTCTGTTTTGCTCCATGTCAGAGTCGACGGCGGAGGACGTAGATTGGGTCCAATGCGGAAAGTGTGAACATTGGGCTCATTTTTCTTGCGCGGGTGTTGACCAGGAGGTAGCGAAATCCAATTGGTATTGCCCACAGTGTGTCCCAACGAGTGTTCAGCAGTTGAAGATTCCAGACGCAGGAGGCAAGAAGCGAGGTAGCAAGAAGTCCGGCCAAAAGAGCGATGGAGGGTCTGATCAGGGAGCTGGTTCCGATGTTGATCCAGTTGAAAAGCAGTTGGAAGAGGAACAGCTCGCCAAGGAGAAGGCCTTTGCGAAGCAAATGGAAGTGCGGAAGAAGTTACTCGCTCGGCAGAAGGCGTGGAACGAAGAAAAGCTGAAGCAGGAACGGGAGATGCTTGAACTGGAATCCCAGGCCCGGCGAGAAATAGAGATGCAGCAGTTGGACTACGAGCAGAGAATGTTGCAGGCTCAACTGGCTGCGGAGCAGAAGTTTTTGAAGGAACGGGAGGCAATCCGGCTGCAGGTCAACAGCAGCATCAATAGAATTAAAGCGCTGAAGGATCAATATGGCGCTATTGGTGGATCTTCGAAGGACGGTCCGGAGCAGAAAAGGCAGCCGGAGCAGAAAGGGCAGCTGGAGTTGCAGAAACAGAAGAAGATAGCCGAAAAGCCAGCGGGTACGGATTCTCGAGGAGCGTACCCGAAAAGGGAGGACCGACATGGAATGGAGTCGGGTTCTAGAAAAACCGATAAGCAGAAAAAGATGAAGGAGGTGCCTGCTAAAGATCGGGAGGCCGAATCAAGTGATGAGGGTCAAATCCGCGACTCGTCGGAAGACCGTGCGAGCAGCGACTCGTCAGAAGATTGTGGAAGCAGCGACTCGTCGGAAGATCGTGCGAGCAGCAAGCGACCTGGCAGTGTGCGTGGTAACGGAGCTGGTGACGGGTCGGGGCGAACCGGCGGTCGAATCTCGAGGGATCAGCTGGCCGCTAGAAAAGCGATTTCGCATCACCTTCCAAAATTTCGTGGAGAACCGGAAGTTTGGCCGCTGTTTATTAGCAGCTTCGAATATACGACGGAAGCATGTGGGTTCTCAAACCTGGAGAACTTGAAGCGACTGCAGGACTGTTTGCAAGGTGACGCGCTCGAAGCAGTGAGGAGTCGGCTCGTTCTGCCGAATTCCGTTCCGAACGTGATTTGTGACCTACGGAATCTATTCGGAAGGCCGGAGAAGCTGCTGAAGTCGCTGCTGACGAAAGTGAGGAACGCTCCAGCGCCGAGAGCTGATCGACTGGAGATGTTCGTTAAATTTGGGATTACGGTGAAGCAGTTGTGCGACCATCTTGAGGCTGCGCGACTCAACGATCATCTTAATAACCCGATGCTGGTACAGGAGTTGGTTGACAAGCTACCACCGAGTTACAAACTGGATTGGGTGCGGTACAAGCGAGGAAAGGAAGATAGTCCGCTGAGGATGTTCACGGATTTCATGACTGAAATAGTATCCGACGTGTCCGAGGTGACGGAGTTTTCTACGCTGTCGGTGAACGAGCGAGCGTCGCATGGGCGAGAGAATCCTAGAAAGAAGGAGTTTGTGCATGTGCACGACTCTGAGCAGAAGCAGAGCGAAGAACTACGCAGAGAGGTGGTCAGCCGTCCTTGTTGGATTTGTAGGCGGACGGATCACATGATCAAGAGCTGCGGTGAGTTCAAGCGGATGAATATCGCAGAACGGCTAAAAGAAGTGGAGAAGCAGAAACTCTGCGGAGTCTGCCTCAACAAACACGGTGGAAATCGATGCTTCTCAAAGATCCGATGTATGGTGCGGAATTGCCAAGGCAACCACCATTCTCTTTTGCATCGGGTTGAAGAATCGGTGCAATTGCAGAGAGCAAAATCAGATTGCATGGTGATTTTCCGGATGATGCCGGTGACACTTCATGTTGGTAAGCGGCAGTACGACACCGCCGCCTTCCTGGACGAAGGATCGTCTGCTACGTTGGTGGATGATGGGGTGGCCAAACGGCTGAAGGCAGAAGGGACTCTCGAGCCGCTGATAGTCACGTGGACCGGAAACATCAACCGGTATGAGAACGATTCCCGTAGTGTGGAAATGATGATGTCGGCGAAGGGATCTAAGGAAAAATTTCCGCTATTCAACACACGAACGGTGTCCGAGTTGCAGCTACCGCAACAGGATGTACGGTATCATGACGTGGTGAACCGGTATTCGCATCTTACTGGAGTGCCGGTGAAAGATTTTCCGTCCGGACTGCCGATGATTCTGGTCGGTTTGGACAACCTCCATCTTTTCGCGCCGTTGGAGTCACGGGTTGGGAAACCGAACGAACCCATCGCCGTGCGGTCGAAAATGGGATGGACAATCTATGGTTCCGAGAAGCTGAAGCCTAGCGTGAAGACTTACCTGAACCTCCATTCTGTCACACCGGTAAGCAATCAAGAGCTCCATGATTTGATGCGGGAGCAGTACGTGTTGGATGAGACGGCGATTACATCGTTTGCCGTACCAGAACCGGCGGAGGAGAAGCGGGCTCGAGAGATTCTCGAAACAACAACGAAACGAATTGGCGATCGTTTCGAGACGGGTCTGCTGTGGCGAGAAGACGTGCGGTGGTTTCCTGACAGCTATCCGATGGCCATGCGAAGAATGAAAGCACTTGAACGAAATCTAGAGAAGGATCCAGCGTTGAAACGAAATGTGTGCCAACAAATTAAGGACTATCAGCTCAAGGGATACGCACATAAGATCAGCGTAGCAGAACTTGAAACACCAAGCTCGGCGGTTTGGTATCTGCCAGTAAATGTGGTGCGAAACCCAAAGAAACCTGAAAAGGTTCGCCTGGTGTGGGACGCTGCAGCATCGGTTGGAGGAGTCTCGTTGAACTCGCAGTTGTTGAAGGGGCCGGATATGTTAGTT